TTGGAAATCCATACTCGGCTCTTTTTGGACAGATAGTGTCTCTTTGAAGCACTAAAAAAAAGTGCTTACAGAACCTGACTTGTCTAATTTACCAGTGTAAGAAGAGGCAGGGCTCTGCCTGATGTCATTTTTCACATCCAAGTAAGAGGACCATACCAGGGCAGCTTTTTAGCTGTCTGTGGTCAGTGGCATGGTAGCCCTGTAAGGAAGCTTCTTTGAGAAAAGAGATAAATAAAGGTAAACCACAGGGAAATCAATTATAGCAGAGAGAGAATGAAACTATATGCAAAAATATGCCCCCAGAAATCCTAGGTTCTTCAGTTTGGTCAGACCTCCTTATGAAGATGATTAAGGTGGTGTTTGAACGATTTAAAGACCTCTGCGTAGGCTCACCAGAGATGCAAGTCAGGAGCAACACCAGTGTAACTCTCATGTAGCAGTAACACAAACCCAGATTGCTGCCATGCATGAGTCCCAGAGTGGCTGCCATCCTCCCAGCCACAGTCTGGGTATTGCTGACTCTGGGAGCAGCTCTGGGTACTTGGAAAAGGAATAAATTAGTGCTCATCATTGAGAACTGTGGAGGAATTTTCCGATGGAAGTGTTTGTTGTCGGAAAATATGGGTTCATTGACAGCTGCACACGTGGCAAGGGTGGACTGACTTCAGTGACACTTTTTTTTTTAGGACAAGAACAGTTTCACGTCCAAGCATGGAATTTTTATTCAAAAACAGAGCCGAAAACAGCAGTTCCAGAGTGCCCATTTATCCAGTGATTGCCATGTAAATTCAGAGGTGGAAAGCATGGGTTTAAGTCCCTGTTGCATATGATTTGGTTTTCATGTCCTTGCATCTATAGCAGGTCCCCTCACTCTGAAGGTCATTGTCTGGAGAGAAGAACATGATCCCTCTTGCTGGGGAGGGCTGTTTCTGTCTTTGTTTTGATTTGTTTGTTTGTTAAGAATACAGCATTATTTCATCCAGTAAGAGAAAAAGAAAAACAAAGTTCTTCAAATCTCAAGTGATGCCAGAACATATTTTCTACCCAGCTACTTGCCATAAATAAAACTGACATTTTATATCTTGGCCATTACAGCTAAATGACTGCCATGATTATTTTTTTCTTCTTAATAAAATAGAAGTCATGTTAACAAACACTCGCTACCAGAAAATTTGGTCTTGTTTCAGATGGTGCAAAATGCAAATAGTGAAAATATCAGTTTAGAAAGACACATGAGAAGCTTTTTTTTTTCCCTACCAACCTTAATTTTCATTTGGGTGACTCGTCTGCAATCCAGATGGTATCTATGAGGGGGGAATGGAGACAGACACGATTACTTTTTCTCTTTTTCTTCCAAGAAACACATTGCAAATAAATTTGGAAAGAGGACCACTTTGAGAAGACCTGTTACAGGAGATACCAATATTCATTCTGCGAAGGTGATTAGCATGGTTCTATATCCATACGGTTCTTTAAATTTTTCTAAGTCCTCAACTGGACATTAAGTGACTCACCAGCTCTTAGAATATTTTTTTTTCAGTTGAAACATTTCACTGTGCCCTTTGGCAATGGATTTTTATGCTGCAATTTTATTAAAAAGTTTGCATGAGGAACTTCAAGATTAAGAAAAAAAGGTTAAAAAGTTTATGTCTCCACATATAACTGCCTAGTTCTGCACATCTGGAGAGTACCTGGGGATGGGATCTTTTCCTTTGCTGGCACAGATCTGAGTTTGATCCAAAGCTTCCATTGCATTACACATTTTAACGCATTTCTCTGCATTCTCAGACAGTGATTTTTATGAGTAAATAACATTAACAATGAATAGCTCAAAATGTTAAGCTCTTGAACTCAGAATTGGGCTGGGCAGTGAAGAGTGGAGCTCACTGTCTCAGGATGAAAATAACAGGCTTGTATCTGACAGAACCAAGTTAAATTCCTGCCATGGACTTTTTCAGTCTTTGTGATGCCTCTGGAGCTAAGACTGGGCTTTGCACATATATACAAACACACTCAATGGTATGCTGCTTTTAGTAAGACCCTTTTATTTCCTCTGAGTCCTGGACTCTGTTCATGCAGTGACTCATGAGCAAATAGCTTTGCAGAACTTATCCTTTGATTTGTAATGCTCCCTGCTGTGCCTCTGCAAAGTCTTTTATTCCTTTGCAAACTTTGCACAGAACACTTTCATAACTATAATGCCCCAAAAGCTGAAATCAATGAGGACTGTATCCATTACACTAAGGGTGCATTTGTCTTGCTATTTTCAACTTTGAAAATTGGAAGCTTTAAAGGATTTATCATTGAAGGCAAGAACACATTCTACCACTTAGGAGCCCAAATCCTGTTAGCTGTTCAGGTACCAACGTCAGATTCCTAAACACTGCTTTTAGCAGCAGTCTGAGGTGGCTGAGCCTCTTTTTTAAATCTGAGCTCTCCAGATATGTTTGTGCTGCCTCCAGTAGAAGTCCTGGAGTTCAGAGCAAACCAAATGCCTTGAGATGGTGACACTTGCACTTAAGGTGGGACCCCAAGTCCCAGCCAGCTTTATGACCTCAGAAATTCATTTATCTGAAAAGTCTGAATTCAGATCAGAAGCCAGACCTGACTTGGCTTTTTAGCTCATGCTTCTGGCAAGCAAGTCTGACAAAACCAATTTGTTCTCTGCAGACACAGGCAGGTGAAGGTGTTGGTCTTAGTTAACATCAGGTAGAACGCTAGAAGAAGCTGCCCACAGAGGCTGCAGAGTCTCCTCTGGAAATGTTCAAAACCCACCTGGACATGATCCTATATCATCTACTGTAGGTGAACCTGCTTTAGCAAGGGGGTTGGAGTAGATAGCCTCCAGAGGTCCCTTCCAACTTCACCCATCCTGTGATTCTGCTTGATTATGTGAAGAGGTAGCCTGAGGTGTTTTCCATGATGTTCACTCATCTTTTCTCCCCCACTCTCATTTCAGTGGCATTTTCATATCTAACTCCCCCAGCTGCCCTAGACAAAACAGGTAACAGCAAACAGCACTGGCTGCAACATATTTTCTCCCATCCAGCAATGTCTGAACAGTTCACAAATGCTGAGATGCAGGCATTGCAATACCTCTGTGGAGAGCAGGCTCATGCTACCTACTTTTATTGACAGATGGAGAGGTGAATGATGTGACTATTTAGCAGAGGTTGTCACAAAAATTTCCAGCTAAGTGATGATGAACATAAATTGTTTTATATTCCTTTAGAAGCCTCCTTCTCCTTCTTGCCTCAGAGTTGAAGGACTACTAAAATATCAACTGGACAGTGAGAGCTACATGGGAAATTTTGTCTCATTCATCTTTCATTCTCTCTTACAGGACAGTTTATCGTGTTGGGGACTTCAAAGGACTGCACCAGATAAGCAGAGGAGAAACACAGATTAGTTGAGACATCAACAAGCATTGGATGAGGTCAATTAAAAGCCAAATTAAACAAATGGAGCTTTCAACTTCAATCCAGACAGGAAGAAGCAGTCAGTTGCAAGGGTTGGAGATGAAAAGAATTCCAAAGGGCTGATGCAGAACAGGAGCATGGGGGTGGGAAGTGTATGACTAGCCAGGGGCAACATGGCAGTGTGGGGCAAAAGTACCTTCCATCTATTGTCTTCAGACAGGACCAGAGCTCAGACTTATCTGGATCAATGAGACCTGGAGGAGCTGAAACGGGAAAGCCCTGGCCAAGTTAAGAACTGTCTTGGTGGCTACAGAAAGGAAGATGAAGCAGAGCCCCAGAGTAAGGGTCAGGGTGAGTGAGGGCGAGGACAAGCTGTGCTGCAGCAGGCAGAGCAGTAGACCAGCAGTGAGAAGAGGCAGATTTTGTGCCAAGTGGATTCTGGGTCATGTAACCCGAGCCAAGCTGCTGAGTCACCCTGCAGAGCCTTCCAAAAGTCACTTTGCCCACCTCCTGCTGCCTCAGTCAAACCCATCTGAAAACAGGGGTCAGGACAGTCAGGAACTGTGCTGTGAAAACAAGGTGCTGGCTGAATATGCCAGAGGTGACCATGAAAAGATCCAAGCCCACAGCAAGACCCTCTGAGACAACAAGCAGAGGACCCAAGAAACGCCGGGATAAAAAAAGTGACTTTGTCTCATAGAGGAGTTTTTTCAAGATTTTGCATTATTCTTTGCCCATCCAATTCACTCACTTGGAATACTTTCTGTTCTCCAAGGCTCTATTTAAAGTCTGGACAACTAAAGCAAAAGCCATACTTGTAAGCAGTGGTAGATTAGAGTTTAAGCAGATCATACCCTTCCCCTAGGCTGCCTCAACGATATTTTTTCCTAGCATCCCCTGGGTTTACTCCCCTGACCATTAAAAAAAAATGGTACCTTTATTCAAATAACTGTTCCAAACCACTTTCCAGAGTCATTGTTTTCCATGTTTTAGTCTTTCAGTTCCCAAGTTTGCCTAATACTTGTATCCTTGCCTTCTAAAAGGATATCATCTTAATGATCTCAAAATTACTGTCTTTTGTATTATGCTTCAATGTGGATCATCTGACTCCATCAAGAATCTTCAACCACTGCAGTATAATCTCTAAGACATTATGTTTCCCAATTAACAATGGCAGATTATAGAAGCTAGAGGCCGACTAATCCTCTCTTGACAAGTGAAAAGCTACAGTGTGCAGTGTGTTCCCAGCAATTCTTTATTGTGCTTGGACAGAAGGTCCTGAGTTTGAAAATAGATGTGTGATCACTAACTAAGATCTAGCAAGAAGAGAGGATTTGATGAAGGGGCTATAGAACACAAACATGGCAAGCAGTCATACAGCAGGGAGAGGGTTGTTGCATCGTAAGGAATGACAAGTGAAATACTGAGAACAAGTCCAAAAAGAAACGGTTTTCATGACTTTTTGTGTCCAGGGACATTACTCTGGCCTGGATCAGAATGTGGTTTACATGAACAGCCTTTTCCTTGCAAAGCAATCTAGTTCCCGTATGACACACAGCATTTCTTTTTCTCTCAACTTACTGGCATTGCAAAGACAAGATCTTGGAGGCCCCTCCAACAACTTCCCTTCAGTATCTCAGCTTATCTTCCTTTTCTTCTCAAGAATCCCAGGACAAGCCTGATGTCAAACTCTTCCCTTGAGGCTGATTCCCATCACTCCCAGAGTTGTGTTCAAACACTCATATAGCCTAGTAATTAATACAAACTATCATGAGCTGACATGTACCTCTGTCTGTGTATCAGTATCCTCCGTGCCTCCAGAAGATGGATGGATTTAAATATCATCTTTGAAGACAGCTGAAGAAAGTTAACTAGGGATTGACTAACACAGGAAAGCTATTTTTACCAGTCAACTGGTATCTGGTTACCTTGTTACGGGAAGCTTATGCAATGCTAGTAAATTCTTAACTAAGGAGATAGATTGGACACCAAAATTATTTCACTCTGAGAATGCCTATAGGACTTCAAGAAGAAATACACTTAGCACAAAGAGATTTACTTGCCTGCTGGTGCTGGAGCTGCAAAAGATTTATTTTTTCCTCCAAGGTTTCTTCTGGAGCTATGTGGGCTACCAATAAAAAATGGAAATTCATTATGAAATTCCTGATTGCAGGAGGAGCTCAAATAAACTTTAAAATCTCACCATCTTCACCAGTATTTCATGTGACCTAGTGGCACCAGCATTTGGGGCATGCATTTTTAAAAGACTGGTGTTTCAGCATACACATATGCAAAATAAACTTTTCTGGGAAGCATCGGCATGGCCAAAATTATCTGAGCAGTCCTGAGCTGACCATCCCAGCAAGTGAATAACTTTGCACAGATGGAAAACACCGGGCAAAGCAAGCTGCCATTAATCTTCTGCCTCTCCTCCCTGGAGAAGGAGAACAGAAGAGGAGGCACAATTCTAATTTTGTTTTTACCTTTGCAGCTCCACTAAGATTGTCTCTGGATCCAAGTAAGGGCAGAGTTTGGCCCATTGACTACTGAGCAGGAGTAGGGGCTGATGCAACTGGACCCATGTGCAGAGGCAGCTGGCCAGTAACACAAACTGTCTTGGGAGCCAGGGCACGATGCTGTGAAATGCTTGATCCAGCACAGCAAGATGTTTTCCTTATTTGCAAGCCCTAATATGAGAACAAGGCACACCAAGTATATATAGCTCCAAGGATCTGGATGGAGAACTTCTGTGCCCTCAAAAAATTATAAATAAATAATTTGCTGGACAAAGGGGGACAGCACTGCCCAGCTTGGAAGGAATTGCTTTTTTTGGAAAGATCAAGGGAGGGCAAATGGCACCAAGCCACTTCTAAAAATTGATTAGGAGGGCAAAGCATATGCAGGTTTCCAAGCAATGAGTAAGCACCATGACATCAAGGAAAGGTTTTGTCAGTGGGATGAAGAATTCCCACCAGTGATGTGTCTTGGGGATGCGGAGCCAGACAAATGTAAGAAGCTCCCTGGGGAGAGACTATTGAGACATATCATATGCCCTAGATGATGCAGTTCAGACATCTCTAGAGAGATAGGGGAGATTATTTCATAGGATCACAGATAATGGCAGAACTAAGGTTTATTTATTGCCATGTCCTGGTTCAAACAGTCAGCAGCACCAGGAGAGCCCCAGAAAGAAGTAAAATGCTAGAATTTACCCTCATGGGATGAAACAAACTCAGATCCTAAGTTAGGTCATTGTCTGCTCTTTAATAATCAATATTGGCCTACACTAGGTATCAATGAGTCTACATCTCTTTCAAAATCATGACAATTCATTCCAGTTACTGCGAAAAAAACTTGTATTCAACAGAAAATTCAGAGACTTTCTGTTTTCCCTGTAACCTGGCTAAATGTTCTTGTAGCTACATCCCATGGCAGAGTTCTTGAGTTTGCCTTTACTCTGTGTTAAACACACACACGCACACATACACACACACACACATATTTATTCGTATTTACTCTGTCCCTGGTCTAATGGACATGGGACAGAGTAAATACGTAAATCTCATGTTGCTACTTCATGTCACTGAAAGGCGTCTGTCCCCAGACTCTTATGCCCTTTGATCTGTGCAGGCGTGGAGGCAATGTCAGTGCCATACCCTTCCATGGCAGCAGCTTCCCTGCTGGAGCACACTCACCTCCCAGCTTCTGGCCTCCAGCTGCAGGGATCAGTTCTGTTTTCCAAGGAAAGCAGCCCTGCCTGCAGCACCTCGCTAATTGTGCTCCCGTGTGGGCGTGTGGACGTAACTTGAGTCACGCCGGCAGCCAAAGCCACCAGGCAGGAGGCACAGGGCTCTTGCACGATTATCTTATCTGCTGCAGCTGATGGGTGCTGTTCTTACAAGCGAAGTACCTAATCCTCTTTTCTCTCTCCTAAGCACTGGGCCTCCAGGTAGCCTCAGGCAAGCTCAATCCCTGTATTAATTATTGGTTGCATTTTCTTAGAGCAGTTCTTATTTTCTTTTCTTTTTTTTTTTTTTTAACAGATTCAGTCACTCCTAAGTGAAATTCCATCCGTCACCCTTCCCTCATAACGGGTTCACATCTGTTTCTGTAGTCTTTCAGTATCATAACAAGCTCTGATTTTGCAACAGTAGGCAGATTTGAGGGTCTGAGGGCATTTTTGGGAGGGGGGGCTTGGCAGATTAAACTGAACAAACTGAATAAACCTTCATAATCACATCAGGCTAAAAGTCAAACTCATAGGGAGCAAAGCTCAGCCTCTCACCCCCAGTCTTGGCACCTCACCTGCATTTACAAGTGCATGCTGGGGCTTTAGATAGCCAAATGAACAAGCAAGAAATGTCAGGTGTGCATCTGGCCCAGAAAACACCTTCCCAATTCTCCTTTGCTGTCCTACTCCCAGCAGCTTCAAAAATGAGAGATGTTAAGTGCTAGTAGAGGGTTCACAAACCTGTTAAAGGAGTTACCACACAACCTTCCACAGTAGCAGAGCACAGGTGCAAGTGGGAAAGCCACAGGCATGTGCATTTCTTATTTTCCAAATGTAAATTATATCTTTGCAATAACCCCATGCCCAAACCTATAGCAGCTCCACCAAATGAATGTCTTTTGATGTGCTTTTCTCTGTGCCTGCACCATCAGCATACAGGAATCCTCAGCTTTACACCTCCTCCTGCGTGCTTTTTATCACTTTCCAACCAACCTCAGAGAGGACACACCACTGTGCTCACTATAGTAGGGCCATTTGTTCCAGATTTGGAATGGATTCTTGCCCAGTTTTCCCTCACCTGCAGATCAGGCAACAAAGGGCCACCTTGGCTGTTGCCAGCTGGAGCTGGATTTCCAAGGGAAACCTTCACCAGAAGACTTTGAGCAAATCACCTTCTTTCCTCTGCTTCAAAGGTAAAGTTGGAAATCTCTGAGGCTTTTAAAAACACCTTCAATTTGGAGAGGCATCCCCACTTCTCATCTACTTCATGCCTGACACTGAGCAGAGCAGAGGAAGTCCTGCTGAGAAGGGGCAGGCCTTATTTCCTCCTATAATTTACCCCTGAAAAAAACTTCACTGAATTTGTACTGCCTCCTGCTTCTACTGTTGAAATGGCCCCAACTTTATCTCCCTCCACTGGCTACCCTCACTCTGAGTCATGGCTCTGCACATTCTGGTTGCTCACACATCTGCAGGGAGGCAAAGGTTAAGTATGACGCGAATCTTTCTATCGTCCATCTCCAGAGAACTCCTTAGTGCTATAGTGGGGAGGGACAAGGAGTGGAAATGTCAAATGTTTACAGCTTTTTACAGCACAAAATCCAGAATATGTTCTTAGTCATCCCCCAAGACAGGTTGTTAAGGAGCACAACCATAACTGATGTCAGAAAATCTGCTTGAGACAGGACTTCAAGAAAGTCCCAGACACAGATAAGAGCAACACAGGTATGCACTTCCTTAAACAAAACAGAACTCAAGTAATCTCCCTTACCAGAGCTTCATGTCCTTGAGTTTGCCAATTCCATGGCTCAAAACCTCTTCTGTTCTAGTTAACACTTCTCAGTTCCACTAGGATTGTGCTGGTTCTTGAGATGTCAGACCTCAGTATGAGCCCATGTGCGCCTGTGCTTCAGGTTTAGAGAGCAGTGCTGACACATGTTCTCAGAATATCCTGGCATTGTGCTGAATAAAAGCTAATGAAAAAAATCATCCTCCTCCTCCTCATTTTTTTGCAGCAGAGATGTTGGGTCCCATGCTGTCTATTCTTAATCTGTAGCACCATCTTTTGAGGGCATGCTGTACTCCCAAGCAAATGCACTGAGCTCTCCCCAGAGGATCCCCATGGGCCCTTGCTGGCCACAGTCAAAGCTGGCTGAAAAAAAGTTGTGACAGAAGCTGTTTTCCATTGGAAAGGGACATTTCAAGGCAAAATGTTTCTTGGGAACATGTGACGCTGAGTAAATTTGTGACTGAAAAATGTCAGGCTGCTACAGCAGCAAGAAAATCTTACTTTGTTCCAAGTTTTTCAATTTGTTCACTCACAGCTTGTTTTTGTCCAGCTTACATTTATATTTGGGCATAAGGTACCATGGGTATTGATACTTTCTATTCCATATTTATGTTATTACATTTAATATTTGAGAATAATGTTTTGACATTGATAAAATATGCCATTTTTGGTGTTTTCAAATGGAATTTTTAATTGGGGGGGGATAGAGAAATGTTGTCCTTCCTCATCCATTCTCCATCCCTGTTGTTAATGGCATCATCATACATACAAAAACAGCTTCACTGTCTGGACCTGTTGCAGTTAATGGCAATTTTTGACACCTAAGCTCTGAAGGAAGGGAATGAATGTCTGTGTGCAGTGTGTGTGTCCCTTCACTTCATCCTGGATTTCAATCAAGGCTGAGGGAAGACACAGCAATATGTGCAATGATGTGTTAGTAACCTGTGGTGATGACAGAGCTGTGCACTCAGTGACTGTTCCATCCATGCAGTGCTCTGGGGTGAAATATTTGCACCTGACACATAATGGGGAAACTAAGCACGGGGAGGGGACACGATCCTTCTATAGCTACTCTTCAATATTTTCACTTTTTCCCTTCAGAACTTGATGAAAGGCCATGGAATAAAAGAGGTCTGTTCCAGGGGAGTAATTTCTCATTCCCATTTAGCTAGGTAC